GAGGACATTCGTTTTAAATTTTAAAAGTTCAGTGGCAGTCTAATGTCCTCGTAAGTGGATATCAGGCCTTGTAGAGTAAAATTCAGCATTTTGGTCTAGACAACCCAAATGTTGAATGATGTCCACATATGTGGACCAGGTCCTACGAGGTTAAAGCATTTAAATGTTTTGTCTGATGAGAGAACATTTCTCTTTGATATAGTGCTGTACAACAGTACATCAGACAACAGTGTCATTAATACTACTAATATTAATTAGTACTATTAATATTACTCAAATTCCATACACATGGATTTTGTCAGTAACTATTAATCGGTTAAATAGATACAAAGTTTATGGATTTCTGTTTAGTACAAATAAATGATAGTTATTAATTTCCCTCTTTGTATACATTTGTTTATTGATTTTCTTACCAGGGTCTTCAGAATGCAATCTAACTGAACCTGGACCCCAGACGTGTTTTGGAGTTTTAGGAGAACCACTCGTTTTTTACATACCTACTAAACCACATATAAAGACAAGCTTGAAAAAGAGTACAGAAATTTTTTTAACCTTAATAAATGATACATTAATTAGTCTCAATGAAAAATACAAGAATCGTACTACAGTCTCCACAAATGGAACATTGAAGCTCAACAAAGCAACAAAACATGACTCTGGAGAGTACAGCATGGAAACACACAGTTCTACTGACGGTGTGTTATTGCACACAGTTAACATCCATCTACATATACTCGGTAAGACCAACAACTTATTGACTTATTGAATAACATCTGTGTAATAACAATGTACATGTCAAGATACGGTTTAGAGCTAAAACCAGAAATTTAAAAAGCAGGTAGTTACATGAACAGTTTATAGATTGTATTTATCGTTGTTCTTATTGCTGGTTATATATTAGTAAGTGAGTTATAAAATTATCATTCATTTTATGCACACATTTTATATAAGTAAGCTATGAGTAAGCACTTACATAAAGCCTGTATTGATATGTATTTATACTCCTTAGAGTAGCAGTGAATGTCATATTGCAGTTGATACTGTGTCTATATGTGACTATG